TTTAGCAAGAACAAAAAGAGAATGTATACATTGTATTTTGGGGAATGAATGTACAAATATGTGATGAGTAACTACCTGATTAAAGTCTCATAAAAGAATGGGTATGCTTGATATAACTTATAGAGAGAGAGAGAGAGGAGAGCGTTTTTTATAATTTTTATGAACTTTCTCTCTCTCTCTCTCTCCAGTTATGCTATATATGATTCTCCCTCAGTACTATGTTTTTATGTTTCCATAACATGGGATTTTATAATTGAGTTTTTTATTGCATGAAGCTTTGTTAAATTATTATCTGGTTCAATTGACAGCTTATAGTGATTTGATTATAGAAAATATATGTGGTGATTTCTATTGGAATTATGATTTATGATAAGATGTAGACAATGATTTGTGTTATGGTTAGTATCCATTTGTTGCCACCATCCTGTTCAATTCTTCTTACGTCTACCTCAATTTTTATAATCCATGATTTTCTCATAGTTTGGGTATGGTTAAACTTCTCACTTTTTCCCATCATATAGTTTTGTATTTTGTTTTATTATACTTATATAGAAATCGAACATTTCATTTGAATAGTTACTTTTGCCTTCTATTTGTTAATCATTCTTCAATTTATAATCTTACAACTGATCAATATTATAACCTTATTTGTTTCCTTTCATCAATGCTTCCTCATTTGGAAGCATAAGCACTTATCTTTGGGGTGAAGGGTGACTCTTTTAAAATCATGTTTAGCCAATCTTCGAGTCTATCAAATGTCTCTGATTAATATACCAGCTTCAGTTGTGAAGAAGATCAAAAAAATGATGCGGGATTTTCTCTGGGGCTCAAATTGAGAGCTGAGGAAGTTTCATCTTCTTAGTTGGGATAGAGTATATACCCCAAAGAAAAAAGGTGAATTGGGGATTAGAAATATTAGGCTGGTGAATCAAGCTCTTTTATACAAATGGTGGTGGCGCAGTCTTTATTTGAAAAATCATCTTTGGTACTAGGTCTTAGAATCCAATTATGGTGTGGGTGGATCTGATATTTGGCTTGGAAGAGGCAGGGGTAAGGATACCTCTAAAATGTGGAGGACTCTCTCTAATTGTAAGCCCATGATTTCATGTTATTTTAGATGGAATGTAAGGTGTGGTAACAATATTTCCTTTTAGCATCATAGGTGGGTAGTATAATCTTAATTCAGTTTTCCCAGAATTGGTTGGGATTGTTACGAGGCCTAATATTAAAGTCAGCGAGGCGATTGAAAGGACGGGTGATTCTATATCCTGGAACACTTTTTTGGGATATAGTCGTTTGAACAATGTCATACTCTCTCAGTGGTGTGAGCTAATAGAACTATTGGATAAAGTATATATTTCACCGAGTGCTAAGGATGAAATGGTGTGGGAGATCAAAAGCGATGGTGCTTTTACTGTTAAGTCATGTTATAATCTTCTCTTTCACGACCGGTGGGGATGGTCCTGCCCCAAGATTGCTGAAAATGGCCGATACCGCACAAATTTCAGGTCTTCATCTAGCTGGCTGCTATGAATAAGGTTTTTGACTACGGATAACCTAATAGAAAGGGGAAAGATCTTATCGAATGTATGCCTTATGTTAAATTTGATGATGAGTCTAGTGCGTATCTCTTTATTCACTGCTCTTTCACGGTGTGAATTGGGTACTGACTGTTTGGTGTTTTAAATATTAATTTGGATCTTCCCCAACTTGTGGAGGGGATTGTTACTCAACTGTCCTTACCTCATTTGTCGACGGTAAATAGGACGGTGTGGATGATAGCCAAAGGAGTTATTCTATGGGAAGTCCGGAAAGAAAGAAATAAAAAGACCTTTGAAGGGGTCTCCTGTCCATAGACATGTTGATTCATTCTATTAAAACTACAATTTGGTCATGGTTAGCGGTGTTAAAAGATGGTTGGGGTATTTCAAAGGTGGATATCATGGCTAATTTACACAACATGTTTCTTCTTGATTGTGTAAGGAGTAGACCGAAGTGCATCTGGATTGCGCCCCTATTGGTAGCTTGAAACTTAATTTTGATAGCAGTTCTTTTGGCAATCATGGGTTAGCAGATTTTGGTGGAGTTTTACGTGACTGCTTTGGTGACGTCCTTTTCTCCTATACTGGCCCGTTAGGTATTGGAACTACAAATTTTGCTAAGCTTAGGGCTCTTTTCCATGGTTTGAAGTTTCTCATTGATCAAATTATGGCAATAATCGTTAAATTGAAGGTGATTCATTGAATGTGATGAGGTGGTGTAATAAGGAACGATAGGTCCATTGGGAACTTCGGTCTTTATGGTTAAGGATTATGGACCTCTCTTCATCCATGTCAGTTACTATATCTCATGTTTACCGTGAAGAAAATTCTGTGGCGGATTCTTTGGCAAAGGGTGGTGCTTATTTACCTTTTATTGTTATCTCTAATGTTGTAATTCCCTTTCCTTAGTTTTTAACAAAGTTATTAATATTTGTCAAAAAGAAAAAATGCTTCCTCATTAGTAATATCATTTTTATTTTTCTATTTATAGAATATTGCTCAGCACAGATAAAGGCAACAGTGAAACAAGATCCCTCACAAGCATATCAATGTCCTTCACCTTCTCTAGCTCATCCATTTACATATGTGTACCGTTATTCCTATCCACCTCTCTCTATCTCTCTCTCTCTTATATCTCCCTCTCTTTATACTCAGCGTGTCACACCCCAAGTTTTCTAGCATTCTCGATGTGCGACAGATTATTCTTATACTATTTATATATAGAACAAGTTCAAAATTCCTACTTGTATACGTATTGCACCAAATAGTGTAATTTTAATATGTACAAAGTTTGCTCACTTTGAGTGAAGAGAGAGAAACCAATTTGAGGATTCGTTAAAGGCCAATGGTAGGTATTTATAATTGGGGAGAGTGAGTCCCCATTTGACACATGTCCTCCATGTGTCCCTTTTTATTTTATTTTTTTAAGTCACTTCATACCTTTTTGTGCCACCTCATATCTTTTTGGTGTCACCTCTTATATTTAGGGCCACTTAATACCATTTGGTACCACCACTAATAAGTGTGTAATGATGGACACCTCACCTTTGTATTATTTTATTATTTCTTTTAATTTTTTTTGATGCAAAATCCTGTTAAATAAAAAGGGTGGTCCTATGGTGTACTTTAACACCATGGTCCATAATTTATATATTATTATTATTATTATTGTTGTTGTTGTTGTTGTTTTATTATTATTATTATTATTATTATTATTATTGTTATTACTTTACCCTTTTTTTTAAAAAAAATAGGGTCATTACATTCTTCCCCCCTTAAAGAAATTTAGTCCTCTAAATTTTGTACCTATGAGTTAAGGGTCCACCACGACTCCGTTGCGCCATAACTATGGTACATATCCTCTTGTTCAGATATCTTCCATATTCTCCAGGCCCTATGAGTTCTTTCCATACTTGCTCCAGTCATGCGGAATCTTGTAACTGTTTGTACATATACTAAATATGACTTAGGGTATATTTCTATTCAGATTTCTTAGGATCCTAAACCTATTGCTTTGATACCATTTTGTCATACCCCGAGCTTACTAACATTCTCGAGGTGCGACAAATTATTCTTATACTATCTATATATAGAACAAGTTCAAAATTCCTACTTGTATATTCATATTGCACCAAATAGTATAATTTTAGTATGTACAAAGTTTGCTCACTTTGAGTGAAGAGAGATAAACCAATTTGAGGATTCGTTAAAGGCCAATTGTAGGTATTTATAAATGGGGAGAGTTAGTCCCCATGTGACACATATCCTCTATGTATCTTTTTTTTATTTTATTTTATTTTATTTTTCTAAGCCACCTCATGCCTTTTTATGTCACCTCATGTTTTTTTGGTGCCACCTCTCATTTTTATGGCCACTTAATACCATTTGGTGCCACCTCTCAATTTTATGGCCACTTGATACCATTTGGTGCCACCTCTTATTTTTATGGCCACTTAATAGCATTTGGTGCCACCTCACACTAATGAATGTGTAATGATGGACACCTCACCCTTGTATTATTTTATTATTATTTTTAATTTCTTTTGTTACAAAATCATGCTAAATAAAAAAGGTGATCCCATAGTGTACTTTAACACCATGGTCCATACTTTATATTTTATTATTATTATTATTATTATTATTATTATTACTTTACCTTCTTTTTTTTTTTTTAAAAATTAAGGTCATTACATAGCGTTTCACTAACCCGCAATATATTCATTTCCTCTTATTATTGTATATTACACACCTTCCATAATAAAATATCTTCCTATCAAATTGTAGCTACTTCATTCTTAGCACATTTGCAAACCACGTGCGGAGCACGTGCAATTGGCTAGTAGACTATAAAGCTGTGCCAATTAGCTAAGAATAAGTTGAGTTGGGCTAGCCTAGCGCCTATCTAGTCCCAGACCCATGGGACTTGTCCTAACCGAGCCAAAAAGGTCTCGTCCCAAGCTGCCCTGTCCAGCCCTACAAGGCTGGTGGGCTTGGGGCACGCAAGGCCAAATGAAATAAAAGAAAGAAAAAGCAAAGAAAGAGAGGGCCGGGCAGCACCATGCCCGTTGCCACTCCTACCCTAATAATTATTGAATGACTACAATGCCCCTATAATAGCGAGGGCTTTGACCAAACTTGAGGCTCATAGATCCTTTGAACCCTTTGAAAAAAATTGTCCCTATGCAACAAACCTTTCAATTGATCATATCTCAATTTCAAGGACTTTGGATATAGAAAAAAAAGAATCTAAGTCACAAATATAGATTTTGTAAATATATTATCTAATCGGTCTATTTTTAAAATTTAAAAAAAAAAATATTTTTTTATCTTGTACTTTTTTTTTCCTGTATGTATTGATATTCAAAGATTGAAAATATACTGGTAAGCAAAAAAATCTCCCTTTTTTTATCTCACACCTCGAGAACCATAAATCATAAATTTTTAACCCTAATAAAAACTAAAATGACACCCTCATCACTATTGTTTTCCTTCAACGTTTCTCTCAAAGCACTTCTCTCTCTTTCCCTCAAAATTCCGTTTCTCTCTTTAATGCCCAAAGTTGCAGAAGTTCATCTCCCTACATCTTCTCTCTCTCCTCTCTCTCTAAAAAAACCCACAGATCTGAAGCCCTATTTCCCAATTCAGCCCCAACCCACCGATCTAAAAAACCCACAGATCTCAATATCTCTCTCTACCTCGTCTGTCTTTCTTCCCACTTCCTTCCTGCACGACCTTCCTCTCTCTCTCTCTTCTTCTTCCTCATTGCTCCCAAAATCAAAAGCATCTTCGCCATTGCTCCCAGAATCAAAAGCAATGGCAGATGATCTAAGGTCAAAGGCCGCTCAAAAACCCCAAATCATGAGGAATCTCTAAAACCCCATATTTCCATCAAGAATTTGTTCAAAACCCAAAATCAAGTATGCAATTTATGTTTTTTTTTTTATGCTTTTTTTTTCAGCATCCTTGTATGTATTGATTAACAGTAAATTTTTTTTTGGGTGTTGTTTTACTCTTTTTCATTGGTTCTATACCCTTGGGGTTTTCTTACAGTGCTAGGATTTGCGCATGAGATAAGATTTACACTTGAATGTTTTTAAATCAAGTTTTGAGTTCTCAACTAGTTTTCACAGTTACCATTATTGATCATAAATTTGAATTTTTATGGCTGATTACTTGCTTGACTAGAAGATTGGGCATTGTTCTACTATTTCAACTGCTATCAAAGACATTAATATTACAACTCATGAAGAAATGGAGAATATGGATATCTTTCATGTAGACCCCTACTTAGAAAAGTGTAAGGATCATCTGTTTTATAAATGGAGTAGATATACATACCATAGAATCCCACTGAAAGCATTTATTTGTTTTTATCTTTACTTTTTAGAGACAAATTCGACAAATTTTCTGTTAATAAATCTAGTTCTATTGAAATTTTTAGATTGTTTTTTTCCTCTAATTTAACTGTTTTGGGAATGGGGGGCATCGTAATGGCTAGTCTGTTACTTATTTTGCTTCAATAATTCATTTACTTCATAGTGCTTCTGTTTAACTTCACATCATGATTGGTTCAGGTTTCAATATCATTTTTATTGCAAACAATCCTTTATGATTCGCCTCATATAGTGCCTATGATGGGATTAAATATAAGTTGTGTTCAACTATGAATAGTTATATAACACTTCCAATGCTTAAATTAGAGTAGTGTTCTGTAGATTGATGTAATAGTGTTGAACCTCATCATCTTTTATGCAGTAGTGAACATGGATGAAAAAATGTTCTTGTGTATATATGGGGGTGAACTTTACAATAACTTTGATGGTAGTATGGAGTATGTTAGGGGCAATTCATGTACTTCTTCAGTTCATCGACAAACGAAGTTGGATGAGATAAAGGAAGATGTGGCAAATCAATTCTCCATAGAGTCTTCTAGAGTGTCACTTAAGTACATCTTCCCGAGTAACAAGAGATGCCTTGTTACCTTATTTAATGATCGTGATGTAGAAAGGATGTTATTTGTACATGAAGGTTGCAATGAGTTAGAAATCTATGTTTTTGATGGATGTGAACGCATGAGTGGTGTTTCTGTGGTCAATGGTAACACAAGGTATGCTAACTTATAAATTTGATCGAATCAACCTTTGTTTTATATAGAAGATATGGATAACATACGAATTTGGTCATATTTTGGAAATCTATAGATGTTGTTTACTCACCCTATTGTTCCTTCCGATGTGTTAGGGACAACGAGTTTGTGCAGGCCCTGCCCTCTTCTTCAAATGTTGAGGAAGGCAACAATGAACATAATATGCCTCGTTTGCTCTGCACATGGGAGAACTTATTAATCGATATCGGTCAAGAATTCCCCAATATATCTAAATTTCGTGATGCACTTTGTAAGTATGCAATGGTGCATCACTTTGAGGATGTTTACATAACTAATGAGAACTACCAGGTGCAGGCGAAATGTAAGAATGATAATTGCAATTGGGAGATTGATGTTTGTAAAGTTGGGCATTTGACGATGTTCAAAATTGAGACATGGAGGAGAGAACATTCATGAGGTGGTGGGGCTAACATCAATGTCCATAAGAGAACCTCAAAACAGTGTATTGCTAACCTAGTGAAAAGCAAGTTGGATGATACCCCACGGTACAAGCCCCGAGAGATGATAAAGGACATAGCTCAAGATTATGGGATAAAGCTTCCAAATCTCAAGGTATGGCGGGGGAAGGAGATCGCAATGATTGAGTTGCATGGTACCGAAGAAGATGCTTATAATCGGTTCCCAGCATACCTCAATCACCTATTAGAGACAAATCCGATAAGACATGTGACAATGCAAAAAGGGTCAGACAATAAATTTCGTCGAGTTTTCATATCACTTGTTGCTTCAACATATGGCTTTAAAAATGGAAACTGTCCAATTATCTTCCTTGATGGAACACATTTGAAAGCTCGATTTCTTGGTACATTTGCTTGCCGCTACATCTATAGACTCCGAGGATCAAATGTTTCCACTTGCATATTCTCTCGTTGATGCAGTGGATTCTGACAATTGGTTTTGGTTTCTAGAAAACTTGAAAAATGCTATTGGGATGGATCAACCAATCACATTTATTTCCGATAGACACATTGGGCTCGTCGACAATGTATCAGATGTGTTTCGAAATTCCCATCATGCTTTTTGTGAGCGTCACATGACAAAAAATCTTAGGAATGGCATGAAACATATTCGCAATGATGTTAAAAATGCCATTATATCTGCTTTCCAAGGTGTCACACGTTCATTTTGGCGAGAGGAGTTCAACCTAAGGATAGCAGACATTCAAAACTATTCTCAAGAAGCATTTACGTGGGTAGCTACATCAACTCCAGAGCGCTGGGCAACTTCAATATTTAGGGGAAAGCGGTTTGGACAAGTTACAACCATTGTCGCAGATTCCTTCAACAACTGGATTCTAGAAGCTCGAGAACTCCCAATATTGTAATGCCTTGAAAAAATTAGGAAGCAAATGACCCAATTAATGGCAGAGTGCCTTTTGGAGGCTCAGAATTGGATAACTACATTAACACCGTCTGTGGAAAAGAGTTTGGCAACAATTGTAAAGACTTCTCTCTCATTGCGTATAGCTGCACAATAAATATAAGCACACGAGAGTGTGAGTGTCAGGCTTGGCAGGCATTGGGCCTGCCACGTAAGCATGCATGTAAATCCCTTCAGATGGTTAATAGAAATTTATACGAGTATTGTGATGACTACTTCACAGTTGCAAAGTACAAAGAAAGTTATGCCAAACCGGTATGGTCAGTCTCATATTTTGATATGTCTTTGCAAGGATAGTCATCTTCTTATGAGCCAGAGATACTACCTCCACGCACGAAACTTCCTCCTGGGAGTCCCAGGAAGAAACACATTGAGTTGCAAGAGGTGGAAGTAAGGCCTCTTCACTGTAATAGGTGTGGCCAGGATCGACATAATAGAGCTACATGCAGGGCAGTTCTTTCATGAGAGGTCAGTATAATTTGTTGTTGAATTTTGCACTCGTTATTCATATTATGCATGTAGCTCATACATAAAGCAAAGATACTTCGTAATTTTGGACTCATTAATTACTTCATTGTTTTTCAATTGCAAAAAAACAAATACTTCATTGTTTTTCAATTTCAATTGTTTTTTAATTACACCCAAATACTAGTTTTTTTGTTGTTTGTTATGCTGCTATTATAAACCCAAAATCAGCACCAAACAACAATAGTTTGCTGCGGATTTTAGTGGTCTTTTGCTGCTGAAGTGTAGTGCAACTTCTAATTGAATTTTTAGATGGCGTACTGGTTTGATGTGCAACTTTTTTTTTTACACATAGACAATATTCTTATTTTAGTTTACCAACATCTAAGCTGATTTTGGTTTCATCAGGCACATGCTTCTTTGAGTCTTACTTATATGTTTCTTTGTATCTTATTTGGTTATTGTGCTACTTATTTGTGGCTTATTGTGCTACTTATTTGTGGCTTATTGTGCTACTTATTTGGTTATTGTGTCACTTATTTGTGGTTATTGTGCTACTTATTTGGTTATTGTGCTACTTATTTGGTTATATGTGGTTGTTGTGCTACGTATTTGGTTATTGTGCTACTTATTTGTGGTTTATTTATCTGGTTCATCAAGCTGATTTTGTGGTTTGCAGGTTATTGTGCTAACAAAAGAACTCTTGGTGACAACATGACAGGCAGAGCCAACTGACTATAGGAAATCAAAGGAAGAGAAGATGAATAGAATGTAATATATGAAAAAGAGGCAATAGGGCTCAACAATCTGGACTTGTGATCATTTGGACACAATGACTTCATTTTTATCTCAATTTAGTTTTTGTTTAGGACAGCAAAGTAATCTTAGTTTGTACTCTCCTTATAGACTTCATATTGTTTCAGCATTACAATTGCATTTTATCCATTGATCCATTCCTCTTGACAATGGCAATGTCGAGCACTATCTCTTTATTTCTTTTTCAACAGCTCGAACACACAAAAGTTTGCAAATATATCACTTAAGATTTGTATAAAATGGCTATATATCTTCTAATGCTCTGTGAACATTTCAATTGAAAATTTTTCCAATGACGCAGGATTTGTAGGGTTATATTGATGGCCAAACTGAGTAAACACATTGTAGAAAACAAGTAGTTGGGTATGTGTTAGACAAATAATGCTCCAGCAAATAGTTGGGTGGATTTCTCTCTCTCACTCTCTCTCTCTCATGCACGCACACACACATAGTTGGGTATGTGGTAGAAAACAAAGGCATTTAGCATTTGGAATTTTCTTTTCAAGCACTTAAACCACTTTGTAGAGGTTTAGCCTTAACCATGAGTGCCTCATGTTTGCAATTCCAGCATCAGAGAAACTAAAATAATATCAATAAATGAGAAAACTGATCTTCCAAACTGTATTAGCTAGAGCAAGGGCCAAGTTCTAATAGACACTAGATAAAACATTGGAAAAAGTTGAAACATGGCCCACCTTAAAAACTCCATTCAAATGTGCTAGAATATTCAACAGTGTGGTAACCAATAACGGTACTTCATTTCTTCTTGATGTGCTAACAACAACGACATCAAATGTTAACAATTTTGAAGAACCAACAATGGCATCCCAGCATCCCATTTATTGTATCACATTATTTTTTTGTTCACACCAACAGAATTTGAATTTTCAACTATTGGATCTATCACACTATTGAATTTTCAATAGTGTAGTCCGGGATCTTGATTGTCCAGACTTCAAATTGGTTTTTTACCATATTGTGGTTGGATCCATTCCATCCATTGAAATCCCCAATAAGTTGTGCTTCCCTACATTAAAATACAAAAATATAAGTTATTTTTAAGTAAGGGAAAATTTATTTTTTTAAAAAAAAAACAATTAATTGTGCATTTCAACATAAAGATGATCTATTATTTAGAAAAACAAACAAAATGTCATCGGTGGATCATTGCCAGAAATAATTGGAAACTTATATTTAATTTGGTAGCATATCGTATAGCTACAACACATTAGAAATAGACTAGCTTTTCAATTCAAGCATTAGATATAACTTTCCCCTTCTGAATTATAATGAAAAGCTTCACCTTTTTGACATTGGAAATGGTACCTCCTATGGAATAATCTGGACATTATTATTATCTAAGCAATGGTGACAAAAAACAATAAGCATAAGCACACAATTTCATAGAAAATCAAACAAATTAAAAATTAGAAATCAAAATGCCTGGCTTCATTGAAGTGGGACCCATGCAAAAGACACCAGCCATTACCATGTGATAGTGGACCATTTGCCTCACTACTATAGTTCACAAATGTGACTACTATTCTGCATAATTTGATTGATGGCTGCATTCAAGAGTTATGGGACATGACCCCATAGAAGGACCCCATAGAAGTGTGAATCAAAGAGTGTCAATGGTCTCATGAACTGATACAATGAATGCTAGTTTTATACATTTGAGAAATGGCACATTACAGGGTGCAACTTGATGTACACAGCTTCCAATGAATTTATGATTATGTATAAAAATAATAATAGATGATGATGATTGCAAGATGATGACGAGGGTCTAGAAAACACTAAATGCAAGTGTAGACAACATTTTTAGAAGATCTTTAGAAAACCATATCCTGCTTTTCAGCTTGATTGATCTTGTTTTCAAAATATACTTATTTGATTTGAACTCCAAAGACATTGGTAGCTCTTTGTAAACATTCATATTTGTAACCAACAAAATCCTCGATGACCAAATGTGGAACCCTGACCTTTTGTATCTATGAGGCCCAGATATAGCAGTTTCCTGGAGCACTTAAAACCAAAACAACTGAAATGTTGGGAGAAGTCCAGAGATCTCAACACCATCCAGCAGTGACTAGATGCGCTTTGGATATCAATTACTTCCAAAGGATGACACTGGGTTGATAAAAAAGGAAAAAGAAAATACGAAAATAGTATTGACTCAGAAATTATTGTAGTTTGCGGGATCAAAGCCATGAAAAATTCAGTATTATCATCCACCAATAGTTGGTAAAAAACTGACCAAAAAAGATTAACTTGCAGGTTATTTCCTTCTCCATGATTTGCATTTACAGAATACTGAGGAAAATAGCTTTAGCCCATAAAAGGAAAACTCTAAGGAGAATTAGATGAAAAGAATGGAAAACTCACTGCGCTACTGGTGCCCACTCTCGATACACAATGCTGTCATCTTCTCTAATGAAGCCAGACTTCAAATAACCTACATAGAGAAGAATCATATTTCCAATCACATGCTTTGTTTCACAAGGGCCTATTTTACCAACCATCCCGCACCCCAAAAAAAAAAGAAAACTAAAAAACAAAACGCACACCCTTTCCTCCCTCAAAATTAGTAAATCTAAATGTGAAAGGTTCCTAAAGACAAAATCTACCTTGTGCAAAGTCCTCAAGGCTTCCTTCATACTTCTCAATCGCTTCTTTCTGCTCTGTATATCTCCTCCATCGATAAAACAGATGATCCTTATACTTTTCTAAGTAGGGATCTGAAAGTACTTTATGAAAAAAGCACGGTGTAGATATAAAAAAAAATCTTTTATCCCTACACCGGCAAGATCACTTACAATATCCAATTATAATCGAACCACTCTTGAAATAAATAAAATAAAAATAAAATCGATTTTCAATTGCTACATATTCAAATACAATTCTTTATTCAAGAAAAAAAAACTAGACTTTATTGCTTTATGGGAAGAGAAGTAAATATTTTAAAAGGTAAACTTACCAGAGATTATCTCAACCGGGTTTAGTACACCCCACGTCGAGTCTCCTCCTCCCGAGGAGCTTAGTACACCCCACGCCGAATATCCTATGGCAAAAATCCACTTACCATTTTTCATTGAGGTTGAAGTGATCCTTTGTTTTTTCTTTTCCATTCACTCCTTCTCTTTCATCTATTTTGTCTGGATCCCCCTTTTCTTCTGAACAAAAAAGTGAAGGGTCTTCTTCGTTTGATCCCTCTTTTTCCTATTCAGTCCCCTTCATTTCATAAGTTCTTTCTATCCTTCGTTTCAGAAGTTCTTTTTATTTCTACGTCTGTTTCTTCCTCAGTTTTCCCTATATCTGAGGTTTCTTGCAGTTTCTTAGTAATCAATCCTCTTAGCTTGATTTTAGAGAGATGAGAAATGAATATGAAGAGAGAGGAAGAGGTCTACTAGCAAAAGGTTCCACCCCTTTGCCACCCATAAAGAACAAAGGTGATGCGAGCCACCAAAACATGGTGCAACTTGGAGAGAGAAAAAAATTCGGGTATGCCTCCTTTTGGTAATCCAAGGCACTTTGTAGCGAGAGCCAAATTTTGGGGTAGGCAGAGAGAATTTTTAAAGAGAGAGAAGAGAATACGTATCTCATTTTATGATGGAAGACCTTTTTATGCCATAGATTTTACCTCAATTCGTAGGGTCAAATCTCAATTGTCGATCTAAGGAGACTTGGGTGAGAGATTTGAGCTATCCATCTTTGAACCACCATCAAGATTCAAAGAGATGAGATAGAGCATTATCCTTTATTTCCTAAATCTATTTCCTTCAAATAAGAAAAACTTATATTTTAATATATCTAATCCTTAATTATTAGATCAACCAATATTGATTCAAAGATTTAGTAAATATCTCAAATATTCAACCTTATCACATAAATTGGTTATACCTAAAAAGATAAGCCAACCAAGACGATAAACATTATTCCCAAGAATATTACGTGAATGGCTGGGGCGTGCGCCCTTTTTGGTGGCCACATGTGGGCGTTACCTAATCCACATCTTTTTAAATTTTGGATCACATATTTTATGGAGGTCTCATATATTTTTTTAGAAATTATTTTATTTCATATTTAGAATTTTTAAATCTTATATTTTATTTAAAATATTAAAATTTTAGTTTTTCTTAATTTATTAATCCAAATGACAAAAATAAAATATCAGAAGATTCACAAAAATTCAAATAAATATTCTAAAAATCACATAACATAAAATTAATTAATTTTGATAGGAATCAGATCCGTTAGATCTAAGAAATTATCAATACGTGGGAGCACTCTACCTTCAACTGTGAATCACGATCCGCTTAGCTTTCTCAAACTAACCCGGCAGTTTTCATGACCCACAATCCACTGCGGGGGCTCACGATTGGACCGCCAAAGTCAACCAATAGACTTGGGGATGCAATCTCAGTTTATGGATTTCAGGTTCTCCCTTTGAGACAAAAATCATGGTCCTTTAGACCATGATGCAACCATGACTCTATAGTGCATAGGGGTCATCTCTCGCACATATGCATGCTTCACCCTCATTGGTGAATCTCAAAACGGTTATCTATGTACATACCGTATAATGATATAATGATGATGTTTTAGCCTTATCTCTAAAGGTTATTCATCACACGCAAGGGCCACACAGTCCCTTGGCTCTCATCTAGGCATACTCCGACCCCATCAAGGAATAACCCACTAAACCCTTCTCGGTAGATCCCTATGCCCATGTATCTTGGGTTTTTCCAAATCTCGACTGGCCTTGCTCGTTGAGTTTAGTCCGAGTATCAGCAAATAACATTTACCTAGTATGGTCCACAAAAGGACCACACTCCCACTGGGTTTATGTTCCACTACATAAAATGTTCATACAAGCTCTCATAAGGCCTTTAAAGGCCACATAAACCCAACATCTCCCACTTACCCTTTGAAGGCCTTACATTCTCTTTTCCTCACTTTCTCTCATCCTTATTTGTCTCTCCTAATAACAGTCTCTCTCAATACATTAATCATGGTCTTCGCCATCAATCATTTCACAAATGGACTCATAGAGGTAACACTTCTATCTCTTTGATGCTCGGATCTCTTCCCGAAAGTAGTCGTAGTCCATCTTTCATATCGCATCGCGAATCATGGACCTGT